GGAAACAACTCAGCAGGTGCCTGGCCTCTGGGTCTCACCAGGCCTTTCCACACCTCTGGCTGGAATCCAAATGCCTTCCTTCAAAGCAACCAGGGTGGGCCAGCCTGCCAGATCCCCAGCTTTCTGGAAAGCTGTCAGGGCCAGAGCCTGGAAGAGTGGAGAAGGAATCTGCTTCCAGAAACTGTCTGGACACATGGTCCTGGCAGTCACCTCCAGAGCCACCTCGTGCCCTTGCTGGTCCTTGACTTTGCTAGGCCCTCCATTAAAGCACAGGGCCAACCATGCACACAGTCCCCCTTTGTCACAGCCTTAGCACAGCTGAGACCAGCTGGCATTTCCACAAAGGGCTTTACTAAACACCAAGGAAGAACAAAAGGAAAATAATTACAGAAAACACGAAAAACCCAGCCCCAGCTGCCAAGTTCCCAAAATACAGGGTACCGTTCCTTTCGTGACAGCACATAGCCCAAGATGCCTGGGACAAGGCCTCAGGCACTTCGCCTGGCTTCCCATGTTCCCAGCCCTGTGGTGGGTGCCATCTTGCTTCCCACCCTGGGAACCCTCTGGTCACTCATGGGCTCATCTCTGGGCCCCCTCCTAGTCGGCCCCACCCCAGGCCTCCCTCTGGGCTGTGGGCTCTGGCTAAAGGCAGGAGCTTTGTCCCCTAGAAGCTAGCAAGCCTGTGGCGACCAACAGGACATGATTGTACAGTAATGGGAGATGGCGTTCCCACACTCGCCCCTGCTCCAGAGACATCCACCCACAGTGAAACGTCTTGAGTACAATGTAAGGGCACATCCCTTGGCAGACTGGGCACATCTTCCCTGTAGGAAGAGGAGGACCCTCGGAGGGATGGACTGGCTCACACTAATTAAGCCCCTTCTGTATGCATGTTCTACTGCTAGAGAAGCACAGACATAGGAGAGACCCAATTTGCTCTTACAGATCTTATGGTCTTGGAAGCAAGCAGATACGTAACAGGACAGTGACCGCACCGGTGTTGGGTGCCACTATGGAGGGGCAACCCTGAATGAGGGAAGGTGTAGGATGGGTGCTTGGAATCGGCCTCAGGAAAAGGGCCCTCGGTTAGAGCTGGGTGACCCAAGAGCAGGAGGACAAGGTGCATTTCCTGGGCCATCATGTCACCTCTGAGGGAAATGTCATCTAGGAAGGAAGCTGTAGGATGGTGATAGGAACAGGACTTAGGGAAAGGTTAGAGGCAGGTGACCCAAGAGCAGGAGGACAAGGTGCATTTCCTGGGCCATCATGTCACCTCTCAGGGAAGTGTCATCTAGGAAGGAAGCTGTAGGATGGTGATATGAACAGGCCTCAGGGAAAGGTTAGAGGCAGGTGACCCAAGAGCAGGAGGACAAGGTGCATTTCCTGGGCCACCATGTCACCATTCACAGGCTGAGATGAACTGTCACTACAGGGAGAGGTCATAGCAGAGCAAAGATTCAAACGGCCATGACATGGAGAAGGCTAGAACCAAATGAGAAAACAATTTAGAGGTGTTTGTTTGAGACACTGTGGTTTTCGCTTGCTATCCCCCTGCCTCAGTCTACCTAATATTGGAGTGAAAAGCCAGCACTACAAAGTCTAGCTGAATCGGGAAGCTGTATGTCAAAAAGTAGAGCTGGGCTAGGACAGGCATTTCAGAGGACTAGGGTGCGGAGCTCTGTGCTCTGTGGCCGGGGCTGACCTGTGATTCGGGGAATCCGTGCTGCTTGGCCCTGAATGTTGACACACGTTTGCCCAGCACCCTGGGAAGACTAGAACCTTCCCCCTCCTACACACTATCTTTAGCACCACCAGGACAAAGTAAGAGATGGGAGTAGTTAAGACCTACTTTATGGGATGTGGGCAAAATGCAGTGAGTTAAGGTGTTGAAAGCACCAGGTCTGTTTTGTTTTGTTTTGTTTTTTGTTTTTGCATATAATAAGTGTTTAGTAAATATCAGTTCTCCCTTAAGACAACAAGAAAGTACCTTGTTGGTAAGCAGCTAAGGGCTGAACTGGAGATATGGCCTGTGTCATCACCTTAGCAGATGGATCTACTTAGAATATCTCAATGGTAGTGAATGCCAAAGTTGTGTGGAGGGCAGGGGGACTGGACTGTGACAGACAGAATGGTTGTGCATATATGCCTGTGCTTTAGTGTGTAAAATTCCTTTTCATTTGCTCTTCTGTAACTGGCAGAAGATGGCTTCTTTTTTTCCTTTTGTCTGTGCTCTGAAAGACTCTGGGCTATAACTATAACATTTCTATTTCTCTAATAGGAACCCCAAATTGAGTTAGAGACCATGCCCAAGAACTACCATTAGCAACACACACACACACACACACACACACAGTGCCTTTGCAGTTCTCCAAGACCCTATGAGTAAGCACTGGCATCATTCCCACTTTGCAGGTGGAATGAATGGACTTCAAAGATGAAAGCCGTGCTTTGACGTTAGTTGTGCGCTGTCCAGAAGCAGGGCCACAGTACATGAGAGCAGAGACACCAGATCACCTTCCCTGAAGGAGATGAGGATCCTCAGGCTATGGAGGTCTTGGCACCTTCCTAGTTTCTGCCACCTTAGAAGGGTCTGAGGTTTAGGAACAAGAGACAGGGGTGGGGTAGGGGACACTTGTAGGAAATCTAGACATTATCCAAGGGTCAAGTTCATGCAGGAATGAAGAAGAGTACTTCAGCATCCACAGCCATCTGTGGGAGTGGAAGTGTGGAAGGGTCATCTATACCGAATCCCCAGCATTTGAGACAAAGCCTATAGCCAAATGGGGCTAAAGTAATACATGTCAAATGAAATCATTTGTGAATAAACACATGCACACATAGTGTATACATCCCTATTCAAGCACAATTATAGGCAAATATGCTCAATCCATGAGTGCTCCAGATATATGGACAAGCACATATAACACAGATAATTAAGAATACACACCTGGGGAGCTGGAGAGATGGCTCAGAGGTTAAGAGCATTGGCTATTCTTCCAGAGATCCTGAGTTCAATTCCCAGCAACCACGCCGTGGCTCACAACCATCTATAGTGAGATCTGGTGCCCTCTTCTGGCCTGCAGGCGTACATGCAGGCAGAAGACTGTGCATAATAAATAAATAAATCTAAAAATCAAAACAGAAAACCACACTTGGGCCGGTGACAGGCATCAGCAGATAAGAGCACTTGCCAGCAAACCTGACAACCTGAGTTTGGGGAAACCGTACATGGTGGGAGGAGAGCGTCAACCAATACCAGAAGGTTGTTCTCCGATCACTCCTACCCACGCGCACCATAGCAACACACACACACACACACACACACACACACACACACACTCACTCACTAAAATAAATATTTTTTTAAAAGCTTAAAGGGCACCCACTGGTGCACCATACACACTTGTGCCCACATCCAAAAATCCATCTGGGAACAGACACTTAAATGTCTATGGGAACAATATGCTGTGAGTGAGTGTGTATGTATCACAACTGTCTGCAGCATCTTTACCCCCACCCACTTGCACAGTGACCCTGCACCATGCTCTGGAGCCAGGAAGACAATCTGCCTGATGTGCAGTCCCAGCATGCTGGAGCTTGTCAGAATGTTCTTTGCAGCCCCCGCTTTGCTGGCCAGTGACCGGCCCCTGGCTCCTGGGCTCAGAGCCTGCCAGACAGAGAGGCAGCATCTCTGGCAGTCCCTTGTGGGTGGGCAGCAAGCCACAGACTCAGAGGTCACTGGGGGTGAGATCCAGGACTGCCCTGGCCTCCCTGCCTCTGAATGGAATGTGATCCCAAAGCCACCTCCCAGGCCCATCTCCTCCCCCACAGCCACCCACCAACTTCTGACTCTGAATCCTGCCAGGTTTTTGCGGTCCTCGAGCTAGTCACAGTGATTTGTGAGGGTGGCAGTGATGAAGAACGATGGGGGGGGGCAAAGGAAATCACCACACAATCCCAGACATGCATGGCCACACCTTGATGCCCAGGTAGTCACACACACAGGACACACATAGCAGGTACACAATCACTATCACACACACACACACACACACACACACACACACACACACCATACAAATACACAGAGATACCCAAAGTCCCAGATCTGCGACACACAGAGTCACATCGGATGTTCAGTGAGTAACGTACAGACAGTTTCATGGTTACACACAAACGCCCGTGAAGACATGGTCTCCTTTCAGTACATCCCTGATGCTCTTAGCACTTCCTCCTCCACTTGGGCTCAGGAGGTGATAGCAGGCTAATTCATTCCCTACACCTGGTAGGTTGGCCTGGCCTGACAGGAGGAAGTGGCGCTGGACCTAGGTCTAGCCAGGTGCCCTAGGGTGTTTCCTGTGCCTACAGACAAGTTCAGGTGGTAGATGGAATAGAAGGAGGGTTCTGGAGGCACGTAGCTTGCCTTCTTTCTCTGCCAGAACCCTGTCCACGCAGGCAGATGCCCGCAGGCACACACACACACACACACACACACACACACACACTTTCCTAGTGTGAATATGAACATTGTTCTGCATTTGCAGGTAGAGCCCTCTCATAGGATCAGGTTCTTAGTCTATAAAATGGGGTTGGTAATCCTTTCACACACACACCCAGGGGATTGAGGGTATGTATGGCATGTACTGGTCATGAAGGGTCACAGCAAGATAGATACTGCCTTCTTAAAGTACCCAGCCATCTCCAAGGCAGATGTTGGACGTCAGCATTTGAAGGTTCCCACCGAAGGTGGCACCAGAAGAGCCAGGTGCAACCGTGGCCGTCGCGGCGGGCTGATTCTGGAGCAAGCTAGCGCCAGGCTCGAAGGAGACTGGCGATTTGCTCCGGCAGCTCCCCTTCCGCGCCCTGCGGGGTCACGCGCACTCAGGTCTCACCGCCAACCCACTCTCAGCGCTCCGGGGCTGCTCCAGGGGCCTCGGGGCTCAGTGGGCGGGGCAGACTGCAGCCACGCCCCATACACAGCCTTGAAAACCAGCGGCCCACTAGCTTCAGTGCATAGGCGAGCTGCAGTCTGAGCAGGAAACTGCATCTTCAGACTTTCTGCTCAGCCACGAGAGGAGCTAGGGTCACCGGACGCCCAAGACCCTTTCACACCGATCAGACTCGCTGGGCCAACTCCCGACCAGTTTCCTCAGCCATAACCTTACCTGTGAGCTCTGCACTTTCCCGGGTTCCAGTGGATGCTCAAGCTGACGGCAGAGACTTAGGACTGCATTGAGTGGGACACCGAGACCCTCACAGCTCTCCTCCCATATCAGCCTCTCCCGCAAGGGGACGAGCATGGTGATTGTACCTTGAAGAACTCTAGCTCTGGATGTCTGATACGATGTTGGCTATGAAGCTGTTCACTTGCTTCTTGCAAGTCCTGGCTGGGTTGGCTGTGCATTCCCAGGTAAGGACCTGTCCTGGCTTCTCTTGACCTTCTCATCCCAGCCTTAGCAACACGGGGGCTACGGTCTGAAATTACAGACCCACTCCAGAAAGCAGCTCCCAGGAGATGTACACATATTTCCCAGGGGCTCATCTGGACCTCAGGGAGGAGACCTCTGGCTGGGCAGTCCCCAACTCCTGGGGGCTGTCTTGGTGGGGGCAGGGAAGCCACAGGGAATGAGGGAGGTTTCCTGTCTGGCCCCTGGAGCCCAAGTGGCTTTGCTAAAAGCATCTGTCCACTAATCCCAGTCAGTTCCCTGGCCTTGTGGTCAGGGTTGAGGCCCCATGACCAACCAGGCGCCCCCAGGACCTCTGACCTGGCCTGGTGGGGAAGAAGTTGGCTAAAGAAGTTTGTGGTAGGGAGGTGAGGCCCTTCCCCCACCAGCTGAGCACGGGGATCTTGGGTGGGCTTCAGATATGATGAGGGATCTTGTCATGCCCTTTCCTCCTAGTGGGTGGCAGAAGGTCCTGAGTGCAGGGCCTGGGGAAATGAGCACAGCCCTTTTCCCAGGAGCTGGGTGAGTCTGGCTGGGAGCCAGATTGGGCAGCAAAATCCTGACAAAGCCAATGCATTCCCTTCCTGCTGTACTGCCCCTGCACTGCCCACTGCCCCAGGAGTCCTCAGCGCCAGCCCAGCAGCGGATGGGTTGTGCAGTCCCCTTGCTGAGCAGCCAGGCCGGCAGCCTGCTTGCTGCAGTGTTAGCCAGAGGTGTAACGTTACTGGCAGGCAGCACCAGCTCATGGCGCCGCCCGCTCCAGACCCTGAGTTCCCACCAGCTGATCACCTCCCCCTGGGCTCTGGCACCCAGCCAAGGCGGGCTGTAGAAGGCCCAGCAGGGCTGGCCTGGGGGCTGGGTAGAAGAGAGACCCCACAGGATTACAAGTGCTTTGGAACACGAGAAGCCTCCCCAAACCTCTAGTCTCCGACCCTTTTCCAAATGAGGAGACTGAGGCCAGAGAGTCAGGTGTTTTTTAGTGGTACAAAATAAGAGACAGCTCGGTAACAGAGCAGAGTGTGTGCAGGGGATGGGGAGGGACTCAGAGCGCACTCAAAGAGCAGAGCCCCAAGGAGATGCTCCTTCCTCATGGCTGCACCTTTGTGTCCTCCGCAGGGGACCCTGTCTGCCCCTGCCTCGAACAACTCAACAGAAGTGGAAGGTAAGCCAGCCAGACCAGCTATGCAAGCTGAGCCCCTCTCTTCTCTCCTAATGAGCCCCCACAGCGAAGGGATTGGTCTGAAGGGAGGGAGCAGGCCAATAGTAAGCTGGGAGGGTCTGCAAGCGAAACATGCTGGCTGAAGCCCAAGTGTGTACCTCTCGGGACCCAGCAGCCTAGAGAGATGTGGTCATGGGTTAGCGTCATCACGCACACAGAAAGCAGGACAGGATAGCTAGGGCTCATCCAGCTGGCTCGGACCCCTGCCCAGCACGCTGTTAAGGGTGCACATAGAGTCTTGGTGGATGGGGTTGGTGTGGAGTGCCAGGGGCCAGACTGGACTTTGGGAGTTGGATGTAGTAGGCAAGCAGTCAAGGGGTTTGGTCAGGACGAAGAGTCCTCCAGTATCCCAACCCTGGAGGAGCTGTGTGGCTCTGACCAGGCCTTTCCATTGATTACAAACAGGCGGGCTGTGTCACACCCTCCCTGGCCCTTTCACTCTCTGCCCTGGGTTGTGTCAAGACATAATCTTCAAAGGGCAGTAGGACCTTTGCCAAAGAGACATGCATGCAGAAGGCAAGGAGCTTATGCCGGGTTCTTTCTCCCTTCCGGCCTCTCTGAGACCTGGAGGATGGCCACATATCATTGCTGAGGCTTCCAACAGCACATAGGAGAAGGGATGTACTCATTTACATAGATAGTAGCTGAATTGTTGTCTTGGGCTAGGAAGCCCCTCTGCTGGCCTGCCCACTTGTCTATCCGCCGGTCCCTTGGGATCACCTTGCCTGTCCTTGCTCTCACACCTGGAGCCCAGACCACTGGAATGGGTGAGAGAAGGCGCTTTCTCAGCACTGTGGACTTGCCTATTTTCTGAACTCTCTGGAACTGGTATCGCATCATTCTCTCTGGGGTTTGAAGAGGGCCTCACCTCTCACCCCAACATCATACCCCCTTATTGATGATTTCAGTATGTAGATCAGGCCCCCACTTCCAAAGAGGTCTCAGCCTCTGTTTCCTCATCTGTGAAATGGGAGAGTTAGATAAGAACTTGATATTAAAGACTCTTTTTCCCAAGGCTGTAAGATTCTGAGTCCTTAGAAGAGACGTGAGTGTATATACTTCCGAGGACCCTGATAAGAAGGGTTGGAGGTGTACATTCAGAGTGTAGGCCAGCTCACCTGTAATGCCAACAAGCAAAGAGGCTTGCATTGTGGCTGAGGAAACACCAGCTGTTAAAATCTGACTTTACTGTCCCCTCCCGCTAACGCCAGAGTCAGGGGTAGCACGATGCAGCCGTGGGCGCCGATGTCCACCACCATTCTTCCGGGCCCCAGTGGTGCGCGTGTGCTGTTACTTGCCCTGACCATAGGTTGTGCAGTAGGAAGGTACCAATGTTTCACAGATGAAGAATCGGAGGCTCAGAGGGGCCCCAGGATCAGCCAAAGCTCCAGGCACTCTTCAGCATAGCTGGCTGAGCCAGCATACTCATCCCCAGGCCTCCCAGCCACGCAGGAACTGAGTGTCCCTTGTGGGCAGGCTGGCTGGGTGCCTTGCCAGTGAGGAGGATACCAGCTAGGCTCCGCTGGTGGCCAGTGGCTACTGGAGAGACCTTTCCAGAAGCTTGCCATCAGGCCTAGACAGTGTTATTCTTAGAGTTCTTCCATTCTGGATAGTATGTCCCTGGGGACAGATGGCTGAACAGCTAGCTGAGGGCCATTCTGGCCCCAAAAGAGGCTCATCAGAGGAGGGCCCCATCCTGGCAGGAGGAGCCTCCAGTCCTCTCACTACCCACTTCCTGTCCAGAAGAGCTTTGGGATTAGTGGAAAGGCTCTTGGGAGCAATAGAGCACAACTGTTTCCTGAGGGGCACACCACACACCTGGGAGCAACCGATGCCTGTGCTCCCTCTACCAGCCTCTCGCCAGGCCTTTGCTTTTCCTGCACGCCCAGACAGGGAACCTCCAGGGATGAATGTCTCTTGGAGCTTCTGGGTAAACCAAGCCTTAGCTCAGCTCTCTCTTGGCCTTTCTAGGGCACAAAGAAATATGTCTCAGGATTCGGGGGTCCTGGAACCCAAATGTTTACATGATGGGATGTGGGAGAGGCATTTGTGTGAATGGAGGTAGGAGGCTGGCCCCCTTTGCTGCTGTCCCTGTCTGGTGGCTGAAATTTTTGTGCAGCCAACTGCTTCTCCCCTCCCTTATTTACGTTTCCACGGCAGAGATTAAATGTTCATAGTGGCGTAGTGCTCGAGAGGATTTTAAACTAAACATGAAGCTCACGATGCTGGCGAAAGAGAGGTGGCCTCTGACCCATGTTGCAAAGGCAGGCTTTCCCTGGACTCAGGGGCTGCCTATGAGGAGAGAGGATTTGTTTCCCCACTTGGGTCCAGGGAGAGTGTTCAGTAGCCTGAAAAAGTAGAGTCAGAGAGTCCCCACGCCCCCTCCTGCCCCTGGTTTAGCCCACGTGCCTTCAAAACAGGGCAGTGTAGGATGGAGCACCAGACGCCCAGATAAGTACGGTTTATTGCCTCGGCGGCTGCCCAGCCAACTCCACATGGATGAACTGCCTCTTGGGTATTTTCCACCAGCTTGCAGCCTTTCCCGAGGGCCTCTGCTATGTCTGAAGTTTATTTTTCTTCTGAGATTACCCGGAGCCACATATCCTAACAGGATCTGTGGGATGGACTTTGGCCCCCTCTGCCTCCTAGGAAGGACCATGGAAGTTAAGGGTCTGCTGGGAAAGGCCACTGAGCTCTGTTAAGGCCAACTTGTAGGTGACCCAGGTCCCAAGTCTCTCATGAGCGGAGGATGGCCATCAGATGTGGGGCAGGCTGATCCAGGCCTGGTCTCAAGGCTGACCAGGGCTGTGATCCAGGGCATTGAATCCAGACAGTCTGTCAGGGCATACGTGACCTTAGCAACCATCTATTCCCAGGCTGCTTCTCTCTTTCAAGCACAGGAAACCGATATACCTGGAATGGCTAAGTGACCTCCCCAAGGTCATACAGCCAGTATAGGGACTGTAGCCAGATGGCCTGGCTTTGGCTGCTCCCTGAGAGCCTTCATTGGAACCCTGGTACCAGGCTACCCCTTGAAGGAACAGCATCTTTGGAGGGATTCCAGATCAGTCCCCCAGAGATACCACCACCACCACCAGGACATCACAGGGGTCGGGAATGTTCCTGGTAATCCTCCGTGAACTGTCACCTCATCAGTCAGCAGTCACTTAGCCTGTGTTTACCGGGGGAGGGGGGCGGTCAGCTCCTGCCCTCCCAGAGCCTCATTTTGGCTGGGGTGGAGATAAGAAGCACCAGTAATGGTGGGGAGGATGTGAGCTGGGGACCCAAGCTATGCTCCAGAGAGGAGCAACACTCCTGGTAGAATGACTGGAGAAGGCTTCGGAGAGGAGTGGGGGCTGGATACAGGTCCACCTTGGACCACACAGGCAGGAGCTGGACCACGTGGCTGGGCGTGCTCTTGGCTGCGGAGGAGCGATGTGAAGTGGGGTGAGGCATGAGGGAGCTCTAATGGGGTTGGGGCAGAGGGCAAGGGAAGGCTAGCCCTTCTTGGTAGAACTGTTTTCAGCAAGTTCCTCAAGGCCCAGGGACACCAGGTGAGACTGGAGAAAGAGCCAGAGGCTTGAGGGGAGGCCAGGGAATAGTCCTCAAAGCTCCAAGGGAGGGTTGGAGCCAGAGAGGAAAACAGAATGAGGACTTGGGAGAGTCTGCTCCATTGGAATTTGAGTCCCGCAGAGCTAAGGGGTCAGCAGGCACCCCCGAGTGGTGGCAGCAGTAGTCTAGAGCAGGGGACCCCACAGAGGGCCAGGGGCTTCGTGGAAGAGTTGAACTTCGTGTGAATGGAACCCAGGAGCCAAGTCTGGGACATCAAGGGGCAGCCGTCTGCTAACCCGACCCGGCTGGCCTTCTGTCTCCCTGCAGTGGTGCCCTTCAATGAAGTGTGGGGCCGCAGCTACTGCCGGCCGATGGAGAAGCTGGTGGAGATTGTGGATGAGTACCCTGATGAGGTGGCACACATGTTCAGCCCATCCTGTGTCCCCCTGACTCGCTGTAGCGGCTGCTGTGGTGATGAGAGTCTACAGTGTGTACCGCTGAAGACAGCCAACATCACCATGCAGGTAGGAGGCCCTCCCCGAACTGTCGCCGCCTGCCATCGCCCACACCATATCCAGAGCCCACAGAATCTCTAGGAAGAATCCAGAGAGCGACAGAGGCAGGCCAAACAAAGCCCTGCCATGGGAACCTAGCTCCCAAGCCAGTGTTCCTTACTCCCAGCACAGGGCTTGTCTTCCTGAGCCCCCACCTAGGCTCTGAGCCCCTCACTGGCTCCTTACCGGTTACCAACTTTTAACTTCCCACAGATCTTGAAGATCTCTGCCATTGGGGACCAACATTCCTATGTGGAGATGACATTCTCTCAGGATGTACTCTGCGAATGCAGGTAGGTCCTGGGTGGGCAGCAGGGACAGACTATGCACTTAGCAAATCCTAGGCCTCAGCAAACCCTCACAAGGCCCTTGGGGCAGAAGAGGGGCTACCACCCCTGCTGCAAGGTGTGTTTGTTTCCCTAAGCAAGTGGCCCAGGGGAGATGCCTTTCCATTTCCTAACCCTACCAGCCAACTTGGCCCGGGGAGCTGTCCTCGGCCGCTGGGGCACAACTGCTGAAATGACACAGTAAGGAGGGAAGGCTGAGTCTCTCCTAGACTTGCAGGGCCCCTGTGCATGCCATACCTTCATCCTCTGAGACGAGTAGCACCTGCCACAGGCCTCAGAAATTGGTGCATAGAGACAAAGACATCACAAGCCTGTGTTGATTCTGGACCGGGCTGCCTGCCCTGAGCTGAGAAAAGGGCAGAATGAGACCAGAAGGAAGGAGACCAGAAAAAGGAGGTACAGCGGTGTCTTCAGAGTCACAGCACACTGCTAACTGTCCCCAGGGAGCTCTAGCCTTGCTATTTGTCCTCCAGGCTCTTGGAACATTTGTTACTGGGAACAGCAGCCTGCCATGTCATCTGGCTCAGGAGGAGTGAGCCGGGTTTGATGCTGCTCTTTGGACAAGGGCACCAGATTAGGGATTTGGGGCCCAGTCTGGAGCTGAAAGAAGGGGAGGACAACCACGTCTCATGCGTGTTTTTGTTCAATGCCCACTCCGTGTCATAGATGAGGTTCAGGCCCCCGTGGCACCTTAGCCACATCTCATGGATGAGGAAAGCCAGGCTCCGTGCAGTCCTGTGACCTGCTCAGCTAGTGGGTGGGGCCGGCTCACTCCTGAACTGTATTTTCCTGCCCCTTTCTCAGCAGTCACCATGTTCGCCACAGTTCCAGTGCTCTGCCTGGCCCTGCCTAGAGCCCGGGACCACTACTCTAGCTGCCCTCTTGAACCCGAGCCCTGGCTCCAGGCACTCCCCATTAGGCCAATATTGGGGGCCTTGACTCAAACTGTTCACTTCCAGTGAGGTAACAATGGCTCCGTCATACACACACACACACACACACACACACTCCACCCCAAGTGGCTGAATGGTGACTTTCATCTTCTCTCACGTCTGCCCTCCCAGCCACTCTTAGGGCAAGGTGTAACGGGAAAAGTGAGCCAGCCCAGGACAGCACACACTCAGGGCCCCTGCTGCCCCTCCCATCTGCAACACTGTCCCTGGGAAATACTGAAGCTATCCCCTTCCATCAGGCCAGGCAACAGGGACACCTTTCTTCTCACTTCTGGGACAACAGCCACGGCCCCAGAAGGCAGAGCTGGGACATGCCTGATGACTGTGAAGCCGGCTCCCTGCTGTTGCCACGGTGGGGCGGGTGTTGAGCCCAGGCAGGCAGCCCTAGTTGGTGGCCACCATTGCCCTGCCATCCACAGTCGTGGTCATCATTTACTTTCCTTGAGGGAACTCCCAGAAGGCACCCTGGAAGAAAAGGGGGAAATGAAAACCAAGTAAAATAGCAGAAAACAGATCCCAGATCTGATGCCAAGAGGCTAGGGCGAGCAGAAACGTGTGACCAAGAGCCCCCAGGGGGAACTCGGACCTCTCTGGAAGTTGCCAGGACCTAGGTAGGGCCGGAGCCCAAGCACAGGGGCCTCCGCCGCCGCTTTTTCACCAGCTCGGTGCTGCCCTCTAGTGGCACTGGTGCAACTGCGGGAAGTGGGAAGGGCCTACTTAACTCTTCTCCTCTGCACCTCTGTTTTCTAGGCCTATTCCAGAGAAGACAAAGTCAGAAAGGTAAGTGTACCTTTCTGCCAGGGGCTCCGGGCGAATGTGGGACCTGCCAGCCCCTGTCTTAGCATGAGGAGCCCAGCTACGTTTGTGCTAATGTTACGCTTGTTGCAGGAGGAAAATCAAGGGGAAGAGGAAGAGAGAGAAGCAGAAGCCACAGACTGAGGAACCCCACCTGTGAGTGTGCTAGGGGCCCAGGGCTGGCAGAAAGGCTGGCAGCAGGGCTCAGTGGTCAGGGAGTAGCGAGGTAAAGCTGGGATGAGATCTTGGGGTGAGAACAGGGAATGCATATCTTTTAAGGTCAAAGGTGCACCAAGGGGACCTTAGTTCTCGTGGCCTTAAAAAAAAAAATCACTTTCCTTATAAAATGATGGGACAAGCATCACAGCAAGCATTTGGGCTATTCTACAGGGTGATCTGCCAGGAACTGCTATGTGGCAGGCAAGTAGGTGACAGCCCTGTTCCCTGCTCTTCCAATGTTTACCTTCTGCTACACGGCTGGCCATTTCTGGGTAGCTGGCCACTTCTGAGCAGCCCTAGGGAAGGTGCACACCTCCCTCTTGGGTTCTCTGGCCAGAGTCTCTTTCTTTGGGTTCCTTCCTCTGTCCTCTCTGTTTCTTGCCCATCCTTGCTCCACACCTAAGGGCAGCAGACTGAAGTACCAGGCTACCGTGTAGCTGGAAGAGGAGGATCAGGGAAGGGACGCCCCCACCTGGTAGCCAAGCTAGCAGGAGTTGAGTTTTACACACACAGGGATATCATGCCACCATGCCGTTTTCTTAGATATGGGTTTTTCGGGTGTCTCGTTCGGATATTTCCCAAAAGAATTTCAAAATCTCACGTGCCTCTTGTTTAATTTTCGGTTGGCCATGAACATTTGCAGGGTTGTTTTAGATAGGATGCTATGTCGCCCGAGTTGGTTTTAAACTTGTAGCAATCCTCCTGCCTCAGCCCCCCAGTTCTTGGCTTGCAGACATGCGCCACTGCCACTGTGAAATCCCCTTTTCCTCCTTCCTTTTGTTTTTAACTTTTAAAATCATATTAACAAACAGTTGGGTTTGGAAGACCTATCCTTCCTTTAGGGAAAAGCGTGACTGTCGCTAGGACAACAGGCCTCAGGCACTTCCCCACGCGAAGTTAAAGTGGAAGAGCCAAGAAAGTTGATCCAAGAAGTTTTCTTTAATGGGGAAAAAAAAAAAACCTATTGGGGGAGTGGGGATCTAGTGCAGTGGGGTGAGGGGGAGCTTGCTTATTGTATAAGACCCTGAGTTCCAGCACCTCAAAATGTATAATAAAATAATGCAGATAGGCTGGAAGCCTTTATTCTCAGCACTTGGGAGGCAGATGCTGGTGGATCTCTGTGAGTTCGAGGCCAGCCTGGTCTACAGAGCGGTTTCCAGCACAGCCACGGCTACTGCACAGAGAAGCCCTGTGTCAAAATAAATAATTAAATAGCACAAACAGTGAAATTCCTGTCACCAGTTCTCGGTCTTTGGGGACATCTGTCTGAAGATTGGTGTCTTGGGGCTACCAGTGGCACTGTTACACGATGCCAGATTGGCTTCAGATGTCTCTGTCACCGAACACTTGAGTGATCTTAGGCAAGTTTCTTAAACTCTCTGAACAGCAACTCCTCGTTGGCGAGCAAGTGACACTGTGGGGTGTTGCAAAGTGTGAGTGAGACAGCACTTGGCAGGCGCGAAGCCGGGCGTCTGAGTAACTGCTTGGAGAGGGAGGTAGCTGCTTGCTGGCCTGGGTGTGAGCAGGCTTCCCAGGGTTCTGCTTCTTCCTACTGCTCCATGCCCTCTGTGTCCACCCTCTCTGCAGAAGGGGACCTCGTCCTCCACAGTGTCCTGATCTCCCTGACTTGTCTGTGTTTTCTTTCTGGCAGGTACGGTGATGCTGTTCCCCGGAGGTGACCAGCCCCTCAGAGGAGAGACCCCTCGCCCAGCTCATATATTTATTACCGTCACCCTCTCAAATCCCTCCCTGCTGGTACCTACCCTCTATTTATTAGCCATCTCGTCCCTGCTGAATGACTTGCTCCCTCCAAGATAAGGGGCATAGAAGGACAGGACCCTCAGGAATTCAGTGCCTTAAACAAAACGTGAGAGAAAGAAAGAAGCCATCCACGGTTCCGTGGGTGCTTCGGCTTGGGAAGAAGCAAGACATGGACATGGCCTTGCAAGGGGTAAGCCAGGCCCCCGAGGCTCTGGTCTCCAGGGCACATGAGAAGGAAAGAAAAGGCCCAGTACCTATCCTGGTCCCTGGCTCCACAGAGACAAGCAGCTCTGGCCCTGGCTGCATTGAAGATATGTATCGGAGACCCAGCCATGTCCTCTTGCTTCTGGAATCAACTGTTTACCCTGAAGACCGGGAGAAGACATCCAGCTCTGGAGAACAGAGCTTGCCTGTGGGCTTTGCCTTTCAGCCTTCACACTTCGCAAAGCACCACCACCTTGCCCCTGTCTGGGACACAGCTAGAGTGGCTTGGGGCTGAACAGAGAGCAGGCTGTATGAGGGATAATAGCCCAATAGGTTGGTGGACTTCCACAGCTGCAAGTCAGAGGCATGTGTCCTACTGTTATGGCTACGGAGCACAAGCAGATTCCTGGAAGGCCCTTGCAGCCCACCAGTCGTCTCTTCCTGGACTGTCTAACTGCCAAGCCAGATTCTCTTGAATAAAACATTCTAGTCTGGAACCAACCTGTCAAGGATGTGTGTCTTCCATAGAGCAGTGGCGGAAAGCCAGAAATGGCAGATAAGGGGGTGTGCGGGAACGGCATGATGGTAGACCCAAGCCTCACTCCCGTGTCTCAAAGAGCCTTCTGGGGTTGTGAGGGTGAATGCTACCATGGGTGACATCATATGCGCTTCCCCTACGACAGCTGGGGGAACTGAGGCCCGAGAAGGCAGAGTGAATAATGCAGAAGCATCTAAGAGCACTGGGGTGAGAGTCAGGCCGGCCTTATCCCAGACTGTCTCTCTGCATCCTCTTGGCTAGACCTCTCCAGCTTTGACACGCGCTAAAGGATCCTTGCTACTGTCTCAGTGGCCCTGGATGGTCTTCACAGGCTGTCCCTGTAGGGATTATTTTAGCGCTGCCCCTGGAGCCCACCCTGCCCCAAACATATGGTCTCACCTCTAAAAGTTGGGGAGAGGTCTGGCTCCAGCCTCCTCTAAGACTCATTTCCTTACACCCAGCCTGGGACACACATTCTTGATAGCCTATAAGAAGGTCCCCCAGGGTCCTCGGGCCTCAGGAGGGTCACCCTGTCCTAGGCTTGCTGAATCATAGTGTCCCCTCACTACTTGGGCCTAGGATGCCTGGATCAGCTGCCAACTTCCTTTTGCTTCTCAACTTCCTTCATTTTCCTCCAAACAAAAAACAAAAACCATTGTATTTCCATTCTGAGTCCAAACCACTTTCTAACAGACACCAAGCTGCTCTTGACACCTGAGGTGGTATGACTATCTTTATATGCTGTGTGTGCAGGTTGAAGAGCCCTATCTTATCTCTTAAAGTTGAAACACACCCTTTTCTGCTCCTGGCAGAAAGGGACCTGCCTATAGGTCAGTGGTTCTCAACCTTCCTAGTACTGAAGACCTTTTGATACAGTTCCTCATAACTGTTGCTCCTTCATAACTGTAATCTTGCTACCCACAGGTTGAGAACCACTGCTCCAGACTTTGAAGGTCATGATGGCAAGCAGGGTAGAGGGGGCTCTGAGCAGGTGGCTGCCCTCCACTTGTCCATTCACGGACGCCTGGAGCCCTGGAGGACAGTCCAGCAATCCGGTCAGCATGTGCTCCTGGCTGGGGATCAGAGTGTGGGCTGGCCCCAGGGGACTCAGCTAAAGAAATGACTTTCTTGCTTCTCTCTCCATCTGCAGCTGTTGGAAGACATTGTCTCTGGCTGTGTTCTCTGAAGAAAGGGCCCCTCCCTTGCTCAGGCCTTCGGCTGGGCCCTGAGGACCCCAACCCCACCCTGTAGCATCTCCAACATCTCCAAGGCTGTCAGCTCCCACTCAGGCCAGCAACCTCTGCAGTAACCTAGACACAAACCAGGGCAGTTCCTGGGTTAGAAGAAACGCTTGTCCTTGGCCAGGGTGTTCACCGCAGGAACAGTTAGGAAAGGAACATCATGGTGGGTGCAGTTGACCAAACTGCCGGTCCTTTCAGGTCATCTGAGTCCTCAGGGACTTGTGTAATGAATGGGCTTGTCACTCATTGGTGGAATAGCACTCAGTCACGGGTTCTGAGGCACTGAGGGGACTGAAACACACATGCCCTTTGCCCTGGGCTCTCATTCCATAGAGTGCTGTGTGTAGACGTTGTAGGCTATTATTTCAGTTGCTCAAATCGATGACTGGACTCAAGAAAAAGGGGCCCTTGAGCACCCCAAATTCTAAAACAAGAAACAACTTGGGACCAGAAACACATGCCTAATAAATTCATTAATGATAACCTGGGGGGAGGGGTGAATTGGCTCAGTGATCAAGAGTACATGCTGATCTCCCAGAGGACCTGGGTTTGATTCCCAGCACCCACACAAGACAACTCACAACCATCTGTTCCGCAGTTCCAGACAATCTGACACCCTATTTCTGATCTTTTCAGGGAACAGGCACCCATGTGGTACACGGATATATACACAGACAAAACACTTATACACATTAGATGGATGGATATAGATAGACAGATAGACAGATAGATAGATAGATAGATAGATAGATAGATAGATAGATAGATGAATGGGTGAGTGGGTGGGTGGATGAAGGGATGGATGGATGGATGAATGAAGGAATGGATGAATAGATGAAGGGATGGATGGATGAAGGGATGGATTGATGGATGGATGAAGGGATGGATGGATGGATGAAGGAATGGATGAATAGATGAAGGGATGGATGGATGAATGGATGGATGGATGGATGAAGGGATGGATGGATGGATGGATGAAGGGATGGATGAGTACATAGAAGTGGGGAACAGAGACAGGGATATAGATTAAGAGGGGCTGGCAAGATAGCTAGTCAGGTAAAAGTGCTTATCTTGAAAATTTTGTGATCAGGGTTCAATCCTTGGACCCCACAAGAGGGTAGAAAGAATGAATTAGCTAACTCTGAAAAAATGGTCTTGTGACCTCTACACTTGTGTGCTGTGTCACAGGTGTCTCATACACACACACATGCACATGTCATGCACACACACACTAATAACAACAATAATAAAAATGTAAATGTCTGTAGTTGAAGGTGAGCTGGTGGTGCATACCAGTAATCCCAGTAGAAACTGAGGCAGGAGGGTCAAGAGTTCCTGGTGAGCCTGAGCTGCATAGTAAGATTCTGGCCAGGCAGTGGTGGCACACATCTTTAACCCCAGCACTCAGAAGGCAGAATCAGGCAAATTTCAGTGAGTTCAATGCCAGCCTGGTCTACAGAGGGAGTTCCAGGACAGGCTCCAAAGCAATACAGAGAAACCCTGTCTCAGAAAACAAAAATAAAAAACAAACAAAAAAAAAAAAAACCCACAGTAAGATTCTGTCAAAATTAAACAGAAGGGGGAAAGAAGGAAGGAAGGAAGGAAAGCAAGCATTTTGTCTCTCCAAAATGCAGCTGTGGAATATTAGAGATGGCCTTGACCTTGCTCAGCTAAAGGTGACCCTTCATCTCCTTTCCCTTGCCTCAGTTGGGCTGATTTGCTTTGACCTACAGCCAGGTTCAGCTTTCAAGAGAGCTTCACCTTGGTCACTTGGAACACTGAGCTGTCATGGTGTTAGCCATCTTGAGGTCACCATGTAGAAAGGAAGCTCAGACCACCGTGGAGGTGGGAAGCAGAGAAAAAGGCTCAGCCAGACCCAAGCTCCTCCGTCTCCAGCCCTCATAGTCATCTTAGCTGACACCTCAGGAGGCTGGATGAGGGCTCAGGGTCAACAGCACAGGCTGCTCTTGCACAGGACCTGAGTTCAAGTCCTAAAACCCACCTTGGGTGGCTCACAAACTGCCTCTAATTCCAGGCCACAAGTCCACAAGGCCTCTGGCCTCCAGTGCACCTGCACTGGCCCACACACATATACACGTACTAAAAATCAAGATCATGGGGCTGGATAGAGGGCTCAACAGGAAAGAGCACTTGTTGCTCTTGCAGAGGACCCGTGTTCTCTCCCACTTTCTCATCTCTGCAGGCACCAGGCACACACGTGGTACAGACATGCACGCAGGCAAAACATCCATACAGGTGAAATAAAGTGAAAAGCATCTTTAAAAAGGTTTTAAATGGTTTATTTTTATTTTATGTGTGTTGATATTTTGCCTGCATGTATGTCTGTGTGAGGGTACCAGATTCTCTGGAACTGGAATTACGGACAGTTTTGAACTGCCGCGTGGGTGCTGGGAATTGAACCCCAGTCCTTTGCAAAAAGCAGCTGGTGCTCTTAACTGCTGAGCCATCTCTCTAGTCCCTAAATAATTCTTTTTAAAATAAAATACAAGTTAGAAAGGGCTTTATAGGACTCATCTGAGGGTTCAGACCTCACAGAGCAAAGACAAACTGCTCCCACCATGCTTCCTTCCCTAACTGGTGAGGTCCGGAGACACCATGACAAGATTGTTTTAGAGAAGTTTGCTCTTCGACAGTAAGTACCCAGAAATGAAAAGGCAAAGAGGCAATGTACCAGGGAAATACTGTGGACCAGGAGGCCACAGGAAACTTCATCATGGATAGGACATTTACAGTGTTTATGATATTATGGCCATTCAGAGACAACACTGCTCCAAACTGAGGACATGGATGATGGAGTTAGGATGGGTCCCAGTATGACTGGAGCATGATGGGAAGGGAGGAAGTCAGGAGGCAGAGCCAATGGCTTTACCCTAAAGGCTGGTAGCAGATCAAAATTGGGTGTAATGTCACAGGAAACCACCAAAGGGTGTTAAGCTATAGAAGACATCAACACACAGCTTTTTTGTCTTTGCTTTTTTTTTTTTTTTTATTTTGGTTTTTGTTTTTTGAGACAAGATCTGTAGACTCACAGAGCTCCACCTGCCTCTGCCTTCCAAGTGCTGGGATTAAAGGTGTGCGCCACCACTGCCTAGCTACCACTGGATACCTTTTTGAAAGATCACTCTACCTGTCACTTGGAAAATGTTCTCTAGGGACACAAAGTTGAGAGGTCATAAATGCTTTATAGGACTGGAGAAAATTTGGGCACAATTATGGTAGATGGTTCTAGTAAGAGGGGCAGGGTACAGAGGGATGGGGAGATGGAGGGTGTTCCTGCCACACTGACTGTCCAGCTGGTTTCTGAGCATCAACCGAGTCTTAGGACCAGGTTTTTTTGGGGTAGATAGATAGTGGTAGTAGATAGTAGACTGTGATGGGGCAAAATATATTTGCATGCAAACACCCTTCCCCCTCCCACTTCCCCATCTGCTAAAGGAAATTCCATACTAAAGAATTTAGGCCACTACAGAGCAGTCTTAGTTGAGAGACTAAGCTGGTCTACCTAAAAACCAAAGAGAAAAGGCAAATGAAGAGAGAGCCTGGGAGTGGAAAAGGCGTTTGGAGTTTTGTCAAGGAGCCTTTGTTGGGGAAGAACAGCCTGGGGCACGAAGGAAGGGCGTTGTGCTGTGCCTCCCAGTGCTAAGCAAGGCTCTAGAGTTACTTGAGAGTCTACTCAGTACCAAGCAGAATCTTGGTCTACT